ACGCTTGCTTGTCTACTTTCCGCAAGACCTTTTAGAATATTCCAAATCTTGAAAAAGATTATGTTTATTTCACAAAATTATGCATCACAGACAACAAATAAGAAGTAATATAGCACTAACTAAATTACAATTTTAATTAATTTACCAATTTTTTTCATTATTTTATCAATTTATGAAGCGCTGAGTTCAACTTGATTAGACACACTTTGAGAATCACTGCCCCAGTAGATGGATACTGACATTTCTTTGATTTCGCTTGGGATGACGTGTTGAACAGATTCGTAGATTGACCTAATCTGATACCGAAGGAGGGTTGTCTTGGACTTTTGTCTGTTGAACCGTGCGAAGAAGACCTCGGCTCATCGTCCTACGACTCCGATGTCTCCGTGCTGCGCTTTCGTCCGTCGTGTCACGGACATTGTCAAAGCCATAAAGCATAATTCACGAACAATCATGCAAAACACTAAATCAAGAAAGGTGGCCAGTTGAGATCCTGTTTACTCGTCATACCGAAATTTACGATCTTAATGCGGCATTGCATGATTTGTTTAGCTGGTTTATGCTTGAGACGAAAAGTTGGGTTTCGACGAATCTCTTTTTTCATAATCATCAAGCTCGCTTCCGTTTCGAGGGAAAGTGTTGGGTGAAGAGCTTCGAAGGTCGGTTCCACCGGAAGTTCGGAAGCTGTCGATTGGCTTTGCTGAGACCTTCATGCTGACGCTGTTTCCGAGACAATCTCCTTCGATTCCGGTGAAAAAGTGGTAAGCTTTCGTCCGTTGTATGACGATCATCATCAAAGTCAAAAATACTCTCTGGCGAATCCCTAAAAAGTGGTATATATTCTCTACATTTGACCTCTTTGATCAAGTATACAGTGATTTGGTTATTTGGTTTGTTGATCTTAACTAAACAAATCACCTTATACTTGATCAAAGTAGTCAAATGTAGATTTCTGATGATGTTTGTCACATGACGGACGAAAGCTTATCACCTTTTTATGGGAATCGAAAGCGATTGCCTCGGAAACAGCGTCAGCATGGAGGTTCCAGTATAGCCAGTCGACAGCTGGTCAAGAAGAATCCAAAATCGTCTTCCGGTGGAACCGACCTTCGAATTTCTTCACCCAACACTTTTACTCGAAATGGAAATGAGCTCAACAATTATGGTTTATGTTTGTCCCACCCGCGTGTAGGTGAGTGAAATTGCTGCATGATGCATTCACAACTTTTCTGTATGTGCATAAACTTGTGTATATGCAGCACTCACGAATTGGTTGGCAATTTCAGGTCCAAACACAGACTCCAACATAGTCAAGTTTTATCCTCTCTCTATGTGGCATTTGGGTTTCATTTTCTTCTTTTTCTCTCTATCTCTCTATCTTTCTAATTCTATTCAATAGCCAGTGAAAACAAACAACATCCTAAATGAGAATAATGAATGTAGAAAACTATGAAATAACTTTATTTTTCGAATCAAATAATGTTTTCGTGGCTACCAGTAAATAAGTAGTATGAGATGTATTCACCCGATTTCGTTTAAGGCGAATACACCTCATACTACTGATTTACTGGTAGTCATGAAAACAATATTTGATTCGAAAAATAACGTTTTTTCTTAGTTTCCTGCATTCATTTTTCTCATTCAGGATGTTGTTTGTTTTCTCAATTTCATTCGACTCATCTCCACCTCTTCTGCTTAACTGTGAAATGCCCAAATCCGGCAAAACTGGTATTTCGACCATTTCCTATCGGATGTCCTGTAGTGACCACATGTTCAGCCACATGCGATTTCTGCATGTGCATGGGCCGACAGTCTCCTCCAAATAGACACTACGACATAAGCACAAAACCTTATGACAACTTGATGTGCAGAAGGCGTCGGAAGATTTTCTAAAAGAAGACATGACAGAGAAAAGCGTTAGCATTCTTTAAACATGCTCTTGCCGCCCCACTCCGTCAATAATTAGCATATATTTCTTAATATTTTGCAGGACGGTAGAACTATGAATCTGGACGAAAAGTTGTTTAATCCTAAATAATGGATACCGTTAATCCTATATCAAAAGTATTGAAAAATAATAAACGACTTTATTGTTCTTCACTAAGATTTTTATCAGCATTTCGCACTCCTGTTCCTGATGATTTACGTCGGTTAGATGTAAACTACTTATTATTAATTATCTCATAACTAACACTTGAACACTATAATTACAATTAGAGAAGAAGTTAATAATTTTGCCACATTTGTTGATTTTATATATACATATCTAGCCAGTTTGTTCCTTTATTTCATAAATAGGACCGTCCTTTCCTAACTTCATTGTGAATTTAGTCGATTTATCTATTCATAATCACATCTAACCAATAGTTTCGAAAGTAGGAGTTACTCTTGGAAAAGTCGAGCCTACAATTGAGCCATTCAGTTATTCCTTTTGGAAAAGCAGAACAATGTGAAAGTGAGATTATGTGAAACTTCAGCTACCAACCACCTTAACACCATAGACGAAATAGGATAAATACTTCTCGTCCGAATGTATGCAACTTTGCTTTAATCTAAAAATGTGATAAAAGAAAGGCATGGTCTTCCTTGAAATTCACATCTGCCCTTTGACCCAAGGATGCTCGTGGCAATGCGGAGTAGCAGTTAAAATCACACGATTATATGCTGCACTAACAGGACTCGGCTTCGAGTCCCGCTGGGGGCTGGTGATGAGACGACGTGGAAACTACAGTCCACTTCAGTCTGGTCGAAAGTGCAATTTGGGAACAAAGGGCAAATGTGAAATTCAACGAAAACAGGAGGCCTACTCATCAGATTGTGGAAACGTCGAAATACCATAATTTACTCGAAGGTATGAAGACCAAAATGGTGTGTCCTTTTGTATGGTCGCGGTGTCCTTTGGTTATTTCAGAGGTTGCTTGACCTTGGTTTCGCAACTTGGTCATCTTTGTGGGAAGACTTCAAAGAACGCACCTTGAACATGTCCATAGTTGGACCGTGGAGGTGGTACATTTTAGACGTTTGGCCGGCATCGTAGTCGGCATCTTCAGCGAGTGTTGCCATTCGCAGCAAACGAGGCGACAGTTCGTCAAAGAGACAATGACTTGGCCAACCACTCAAAAGAGAGGTGTGATGACGCCACGAGCACATGTCTTGTGGAATGGAAACATGTGAAAAGTTGCGCTAGGACGAGGAATAAACGAGCAATTTCAACATAAAGTTGGTCAAGGCATCGACTACATTTGGCTCCTTGACGAGTTGTCGCTTAGTTTGGTGAGAATGGCAAGAATCACTCAAGATGCCAACTACGATGCCGGCGAAAGGTCAGGGAATGTACCAAGTCCACGGTGCAACTATGCACATGCTCAAGATGCATTCCTCTACGTCTTCCGGCCAACATGACCAAGTTGCGAAATAAAAGTCAAACGACGTCTAATCAAATGTCATTTTTAGCATCAACTCAAACGAACATCGCAAACAGTTCCTAATTCTACCAACAATATTAGAGATTTGTAATTGTTAAAAAAGATGTCTAATTGTATATTTTAATGAATCCGAAAAAGTGACTTAATGTATATTTTTATTTCTACCCCTTAATACTATGCATTTCTCAGTCCATCAAGGAGAGATGGATCGGTTAGATTGTTTTGTTGGTTGTGGTACCAAAGTATTCGGAATGTAATGATGCTGGTAAGGTGATGTTTATCTCGTCGAAGCCAAGAGAGATTGGCTCAAGGACAGCATCAAGATGGTGGTGGTCATGATGATGATGATGGTGATGATAATGATGGTAATGATAATTCGGATGATGGTGATGGTGATTATGATGAAGATCATAGTAATAATAAAGACGATTTTGATGATGGTTATAGTGGTGATGGTGGTTAAGGCGATGATGATGATAATATTAATAATAATAATGATGGTGGTGATGATGGTGATAGTGGTGATGGTTAGTACGATGAAGATTATGATGATAATGATGATGTTGATGGTGGTGATAGTGGTGGTAATTGTGATAATGACGATGATGATAATGTTGATGGCGATGGTGATGATGATGATGCTGATGGTGATGATGGTGATAATGGTGATTTTGGTAGTGATGCTGTTGATGAAGACGATGATGATAATGATGATGAGGATGATGATGATACTGATCATGGTAATTGTGGTGATGGTGGTGGTGATGATGATGATGATGATAATTATGATGGTGATGATGATGAATATGATGATGCTGATGGTGGTGAAGATGATGGGGTGGTGGTGGTGATGGTGATGATGGTGGTGATGGTGATGATGAAGTTGATGTAGATAATGATGATTGTGATGATGTCGATATTGATGATGATAAGGATCATGGGGATTGTGGGGATGGTGGTGGTTATTACGATGAAGAATATGATGATGGATCGATTAGCTTGTTTTGTGGTTGTGGTACCGAAGTATTCGGAATTTAAGGATGCTTGTAAGGTTATGTTTATCTCGTCGAAGCCAAGTGAGATCGGCTCAAGGACAGCAACAAGATGGTGATGATGATGATAATGATGATGATGGTGATGGTAGTGGTGATGGTGAGTATGATGAAGATGATACTAATAATAAAGACGATTGTGATGATGGTGATAGTGGTGAAGGTGATAATATATGAAGATGATGATGGTGATAATGGTGGTGATGGTGATTATGATAAAGATGATGATGATAGTGATGGTTAAGATGATGATGATGGTAGTGGTGATGGTGATGATGAAGAAAATGATAATAATGATAATGGTGTTTATCTTTATGGTGATGATGATGATGATAATAATAATGATGGTAATGGTGAAGGCGACGATGATGATGATGGTGGTGGTGATGGTAATGATGATGATGATAGTGATGGTGGTGGTGGCGATTATAATGAAGATGATATTAATAATAATGACGATGGTGATGCTGGTGGTAGTGGTGATGATGAAGATGATGATGGTGATGATGATTATTAGGACGAAGATGATGATGATAGTGATGATAGGGATGATGAAGATGCTGATGTTGATGATGGTTATGGTAATGATGATGATGGTAATAATGATGATTGTGATGGTGGTGGCGACGATGATGAAAAAGATGATGTGGTGGTGGTGATGGTAATGATGATGATGATGATGATGGTTATGGTGATTATGACGAAGATGATGATAATCGTGATGGTGGTAGTGATGGTGATTATGATGAAGATGATAATAATAATAGAGACGATGGTGATGATGGTGATATTGGTTATGGTGATGATATATGAAGATGATGATGGTAATACTGGTGATGATGGTGGTGATGATGAAAATGATGATGGCGATGGTGGTGATGATAATGGTGATGATGGTGATGGTGATGGTGATGGTGATGGTGATGGTGAT